GAAGAGCATTGAACAACAAATGTGGTAAAGAGAAGTGTCCAGACAGGTGGGGGGGGGGGGAGTGATTTTTGCAGATATAGGAAGAAAATATAACTAGTGGTAATGTTTATTTCAAATAACGTAATAGTTAAATAGTACAAATGAAATTCATTTACCTATCGGCTGCGTTTCCTGCTTTGCATGATACTTTTATTAATTAGAATTACTTTCAGTATAGCACCAGGTGAAGGGTCCTTAAAACAAGCATCCTGGTGTATGCATGAATCTCAGCTCCTCTCAACGCTTCAAATGCTGAAAGCATCGGGATGTTGCCATGAGCTGCTAAAGTGGTCTACTGATATTCATCGCAGTAGGCGTAGTCAGAACTCACCTCTACACACGGCATTCGACCGGAGAAGCTGGCCGCGGTGTAGCCGTACATCACGTTGGCGATGAGTTTTAGGCCCAGTTGACGAGCGTCCAACAGTTGTTTCAGGGACTAGAGAAAGTGCCGCAAATGATTTGCTGTACGTTACTGATGCATATGCAAGAAGGACGTGACAACAGCAACTCGGAGTTAAGCGAGATTGCTTAAGCAAGGAAAACATCTACCAATTCATTTTAACTAAATGTTACGTTGATAACATATAAATGTTTATATAAGTCTAATCCGCCTCTCGCAATTCGGCCTCCACTCTGGAGGCGTGGGGTTCTGCTCATGCCACCTGTGCCTCCAGTCTCCCAGTCCTTCTGTACATCAGATACAAATGTCTCACATCCTTAGAAGTGACTCGGGGCCTGCACTGCCATTTTGACCCCCACTACGGTGACTAATGAAAGAGTGAGATGTGTGATGCTGTGGCATCAAAAAACAAGACATTTCCCCACACTACGTGGACCTGATGACAAGCAAGATGGGTGATTTGATAATAATGGGCTGAAAATGGAGGTAGGGTGATGCATTTCACTGTGAAGCAAATTTTTCCATGAAAAAGCGACCGACATATGGAACGTACGTATCGTCGAGCATCATCAAACCTGAGGCAACGCCTCCTAAACGATTATTTTCTGCATCAGGTGACAAACAAAGAGCACGACAAGTGGAATCTATTGCTGAATTCTTATTCGATTTCCAATGTTAGGCACCCATATCGTGCGGCAACTTGGGCACACCTCGGGTGTTACAGAGCCGACGTTCAGGTTCAAAATCTGTACCTGAAAATGAACGATAGAAATACGACAGCAGGCATGGATACTTGCTCCTGTCACCCCTGTAATACTAGTCGCCCAGTCCTTTTGGTCGCTGCTAGTACGTCTATTTTCAGGCTACCACGTCTTTAGCCGCCTTCAGAAGTAACCTGAATGACATAGATGCAAAAAGTGTGGGAAAAATCTACTGCGAAAATAAGCGTCACCTCGGAGTGTTGGGCGTAGATTTTGAGGGAGTCCTTCACCATCAATCGGGAGGAGAGCAGACCCCGCCAAAGTCGAGGCAACACGCCACGATAGACCTCCGGTCGCACGAAAACCACCCCGTTGGGCGATACTGTCACCCGATTGGCTAGTTTCTAGAACAATTCAAAAAACTTGTTTTTAATGGATCAAATGAATGGTGTGCATCCCAAAGCTGTGTTTAACCCTCACCCAATACACCATCATCTCATAAGGGTCTCCTTAACATCAAAGATGAGAGTTTGACAAAGAATGGTCTAAGTGATGGGGTAGGGCTTTTATAACTGGCCGGAATGCTCAAAAGTACTTTCTTGTAACCGCATAATTCCCTCTGAAGTATACAGGAACCCGTTGGTCTTGTAATAGACATTCTACGCTTTTGGAGGGTTGAGAGACTACGTTTTAGAGGATGGCCAGCACCAAATCTGTCTGCTGAAGGCTACGATTTGAATTAATCTGCCACAGGAGATAACGGATTCGCCCAATTTTCATAAAACTCATAAAGAAGAACCCAAATTTCATCACTCACTATCTAGTGCCAAAAACTGCCACTTTCTCCACAATACGGAATCAAGCGTCAAGGATACATCACCAAGTAGTTGCACTTATGCTTTGTTGTTAACAGATGCCTAAGTATTCATCGACAAAAACTCCAACTGGATTAGGACAAACCCAAAACTCCAACTGCCTTTTACAAATCAAATAAAGGGTCATTGTTTCGCTCTTTCCAGAGTGTTCTGCATCTCCGATTCAATCATGGAGCATTCAAGTGCAGGGAGCTACACAGCTTCAAGCCTGCAGTCTACACACCTAGGTTTCATGCTCTGCCCTGAATTCAAACGGTTTATTAATTGCTTTTCTATTCGGGAGGAAAACGAGCCGCCTGGAAACCTACCTTTAATGTTTTCGCTGAGATGGAATGAGTGAGACAGCCAAATTCGAATGTTTCATCAGGCCTGCAATAGTCAAATATTAAAGTTTTATTTCGATGCTGCTTAAATAGTGATGAGCAAAAACAACAGTTGTTAGAGGAAGCTCCGTCAAATCCAGCATTTGCTGTGAACGACCGAAGCTGCGGCAACTTAAGACAGAGGTGACAGTGAAACTGTGTTGACTTTTTGAATTCTACACAGAGATCGGCTTTGCAGTAAGATAAAAGTGAAATTACTCGAAGAGCAGGTCATGCCCACCATCGATAAGAGCAAAAGAGAACTCAGAGAGATCGCAACAAAGGGAAAAATCCTGTAAAGCTATTTCTCTTGTGATTCTAAGTGAGGTTTTCAGGTTGTAGGCGAACAGTTCCACAAAAGTTGACTGGTATAAGAAATGTGAGCGCCATCAAACCACATTTAGTCTTCAACCACGCAGTGTCTCCGGGGCTAATTCGTACGGTACAGCCTAGAGGATAAGGATACTTAAATTGAATAAGCAGTCATGATTCCATCCACAAAATTACACTCACTGAAGAACACGTAGACGTCCCACCGCCGTGGAGAAGCAATAGTTGTGCGCAATGGCGACGGAGGGGTAGAGGGACTGAAAGTCAAGCACCACGACCGGTGCGTCGGCATGGAGACCGCTATACGGCTCCAAGGTGAGAGGGATGGCCTGGGGTGCCCTTTGGTGGGCCCGCTGAGGAGGACTGGGTGAGGGCAGGAGGAAGTTGAGGCGACGCGCGGTGCGCAGTAGTAGTGACTCTACTCGATACTGAAGGTGGAGAAGGAGACGCTACTTAAAACGGCTCTAAGCAGCCGCGTTGACTTCGATAGCGAGTCCCCGCCATTGGTAGATTGAGCAAACATTATAACAATAACTACGAGTAATCACAGCCAATTAGTAAAACAATAGCACGTTTCCTTACCTAGAAAATAAGTAATTTATCACATTTATCAGTGGTGGGTGGTGTAATACTATCTATATTTGGCAGAGGCAAATAAGTAGAATGATAAATGACGAAGTGAGTCACTCTTTAGGACGCTGAATCGTTGCACTAGATATGGGTGAATCAATGAGGGGTGCACAACCATTTCAATATTCTAGCTGCTTATGAGGGTTTAAATAAAGAGGATGGACAAATAAAAAGGAGCCAACCTGGGAGCCACGGGAGAGGACATGAAAGAACTCAATACCAAAGACACGAGCGAACTCGCTGGTGCGAGCGATGAGGTCAAGACGTTTAAGAAGAGTCAAGTTAGTCTCGGAACGCATATTCACGTGCAACAGAGCCTGCCATCTAAACAGAACAATAAACGGATGCTTAGTCGTCAATTCCTTGTGAAATGAGTGACTCACAAGCCCCTCTTAACAAGTAAATTGAGGGGAGAGAGTAGGGTGGCTTTTAAAAAGAACTCAAGACCTCACCTAGTGGTACTGCGCACGTCGTCCATCCAATCGGAGAGCTGACCTTGGGTGAACTTTGGCATGCGCTTCTTCAGAACGTGAAGAACCACCGTTTCGAAGGAGTACTCATGAAGACTGACCTATAAATGAGAAAGGCATAATAGTTTTGCTACTGATGTTTGACAAGTAGCACCTGTTTGAGACGAGTTTCCGAACCGTAGCAAAAGCATGGTTACAAAGCCAGCAAAATGTTGACAAAAAACAAAAAAATCTGGATTCAAATATAAGGCGACAAAGCAACAAGCTAAGTTATTTGGATTCATCACCTTCATAAAGCATCCCGAATTATTTTATTCGCGGAAATCTTCACTATTACCACCTGCTACTAAGGCGGTTTAGAATAGCGGAAGCGTTTCTATGTCAAGGTTTTGGGGATTCGCATCCCTTAAAACTCGAAATTCCCTGTTTCACACCCAATTCACCACATTTAGAATTGGCACCCTCGTTTGTCTCCTTCTAATTGGTCAGTCTTCTGCGGTGATTCACCCTATGCTTGCGAATACTTGCATTCGAGAGTGCTCTGAAGTGAAGCACCATAACCCTCTGGCCTAAAGACTGCATTTTTGGTGTCCGATTGACGCTGACGAGGCGACAAAAAGATGGTCCATGTCCACACCTAAATGCATATAATCATATCATCTATCATCCTCTCTCAGCGGCACCCAAGCAAGCCAAAAGCTTTGCCACTCGAAGTCAAGGAGAAGCACAGCCACGGCCACAGACACCTCCACTTCTGGCTCGCATTTATTCTCCAACTGCCTCTTCAATGTCTCATGTCAAGAAAAGGCTGCAATAATCGTTTCGCCTAGTGGCTCTTCCGCTGAGCAACCGTTGCGGCACAAAAGCACGAAAGCTAGATTCCATCAAAAGTTAGTCAATCGGTGAGCGGACTATCCTATGGCAAGAATGTTTGTTTACAAGGCGCACAAAAGATGAGAAAAATAAATCGACAGTCTTTTGAGTCTATTGGCTGGCATCAGGTAATGCATGTAGCACCCACTTGGCTAGCTTCCACCACAGCTTTCCCTTCTCAGTTGATGCAGAGGTAAACCAATTGTTTCATCATCACTCAGGCTAGATATGGCTGATACGTTGTTTTCAGCACCTTCAAGAATATGGAGTATTCCTGAAGGTGATATATTTACCTGGGAGGTACATTATGCTACCGAGAGGATCCTGTAGCTTTGAAAGCGGGTTAGACTCGCTCTGTAAAGCAGACATGCTGTAATTACATTAGGCGACGTGAGGGTTCAAACGAACAGAAGTAGAATAGAGAGAACCATACCGATGGACCTAAATGCACTTGTAGTGTAAACAAGCAAATGCACTTGACTAGTCTCTCAAGTTGCGAGTCATCATAGCGAGCTACGCCGAAAACCACAATAATTATTCTGGGCGCCTGATATCCATCAAACCGCTCTTGGAGTTAATAATGGAACGAGGAGGCATTCAGGACACGCAGATCTTGACAATACCCACGCACACTGATGGAATGCTAACATTGGCTAGTGCTAAGTTTGATTTTCCGAACATTGCAAAGGCGTGGTGTCAACAGTGTTTCAACTCTAGGTGACATCACGAACACGTTGGACATTCATTTGACATTTAGCAGGAGATGAGTAACGAAAAGACCGGAAAACCGACGGAATTTTTGGAAGGTTCGGCCATAGCAACCAATTTTAGTTACGTGGACATTTATGGACCAAAAACAGAACAATTCTAACAATGTCGGGTCGGTTGAAAGCAATCTATGAAGTAGAGGAGCGCATCAATAAGTGGTCAAAAACAAAAATCTCAGGACAGTAAAGAGAAGAGACACACCTCATGTTTGAGGAGATGCCAGAGAGAAAAAACTAGGCGGCCAGGGCAGGCGAAAGGAGCATCGGAGCGCCCGCGGCCCGGCTCGCAGGGCCATGCGGAAAAGGAGCTTCGGGTGCGCGAGTCACAAGAGCATGAAGAGGAGACACTCGAGGTGACGAGACGATCACCAGGCAGGAGGCCCGAACATTTCGACATGCAGTCAAGACAAGACGGGCAATTTAAGCGCTCTGAAAGGAGGGAATAAGAAAATAAGAAGGAGCATTAACATATGTGAGTAGGTCAGTGAGCAGCTCATGAAGTTATCTTTTAATTCTTCTCAAAGAAGCCCATCGGAACCGAACCCAAGCATCCATGATGGAGCCATTGACATACTCCTGAGTAATCTATTCACCCGCCTATCTATCCATGATCCGCCCATTCAATATGGATCCATCTCTGATCTATTTGTCCCAAGCACATCTGCCCGTTCGGCATGGGTCTATCCGCCCATTTGCCCGATTGCACATAACTAACGCGTGTTTATTCATCCATGCAAAAATTCACTACATTCTCTTATCAATGCTATCCTTCAAATGTTCACTGATCTTCGATATTCCGACGCAGCTCGAGGCAATTGATCACTCCCGACGCCCCCATCCTAGCATAATGCATCTATTCAATTATCCTTCTATTCCAGACTTATCGATCTTCACCTGATTGGCTAATTCATTCATATTTAACCCAAACTGTCCATAACATCATAATCAAACTATCACTTCGGTGGAGGTTCATGCTCCTCCTCATCACCCCGTGCAGTCTAACTTTGATCAATCCTCTGGCCTCTGCTTCAAGTATCCGTTCGTTTGTGCTTAAGTTGCTTCGATTCATCGGCCCACCAATCCACTTGTTCAGCACTAATAGAGGCTTCTTCGACTCTATAGTGGTAAAACATGCACAATAAGCGTACTAGGTGTCAAAAATAATTACTTTAAAACGAATGGAGCTATCTACGTAAAATTAAAAGAGATATTCCAACAATGTTATTAAAAAGGATCAAAAAGAAGTTTGATGTGAGCTTATTTATGACAAAACACGACAATGCCGACACTTATTAAGCTGATCGCAAAATCTCAAGTTTATTTGTCTTAGGAATTAAAAATCAACTAATCAGATCACAGAGACTGAACGACCAACCAATCGAATTAGTGCTAAGAAACTATTAATTTTAACAGTTGGACTGATTAGCCAATGGTAAACTAGCTAGACCCCTATTCGACCATCTAATTGGCCAATTGAGACAACAATTTGCAACATAATCAATAATTTGGAAAACAACCAACCCGGAGCAAGCCGCGAGATGTCACGAAGAAATCCTACACGTCCAATTCTTGCAGCTCGTTGAACTGCATAGTTCCACGACCAGCGTTCCACATCGTAACCAAGCAAGATATCTGGGTCGAAACTACCAGAAGCGCAGGCATTATTGAGAAGAAGTATAAGGCGGCTGCCGTTCATGTTTCCCATTCACTCACCTCTGGACTAAGTAGACAATCCAGTTGAATAGGTCGATCTCAGTGTTGCAGATAATCAGTGCCGGAGGTGTTGACCGCTGGTGAGGAATGGGAGGAGGGAGTGGGGGCTTTTGAGGCTCCACGATAACAAGAAGGAAAGTTGGGGAGGCAGAGAATGACGAGAATGCGAGCGAGGCCGCCACAATGCGGTCAAATTGAGGGTCAGGAGCAAAGAATCCACCCAGGCTAGAGATTGAAATAGCATGACTGGTGCGTTGAATGGTGGTGGGGGCTCCAGTTTGACGACGGGTGTGGCAAAGGACTTCTAGGGACGCCAGAGTGCAATGGTCCTCCTAAAGTAGTGGTCAGATGGCCGATGTATAAAGCTCTCAGCCTATTGACTGCAAAAATTTATCATGGAAACAAGCGAAATCTGCAAAACCAAGAGCAACATTGAACCAATCAGTGCCCTTCGATCAGATAGCTAGCTGAAAGAACTATAAGACATATTTAAATAAGAAAAGCGATTAATAAGCAAGATATACCAACAACAGGACCTCTTTTAGTCATTTCCGTTGTTCTTTAAACGAATTATTTCCGTATAGTTCACTTAACAGAAAAATGTAATGCTTTGAGTTTTCATATTCATTCATGATAATGAACTACCACTGGTGACGAAGTAAAAAGCATTAATTTTAAATTATTCCCTATTGTCTCGTGATTAATTACGAGCTACTACGAGACCTCTGGCGGCCAAATCAGAGGAGTACCTGTGGAGGACACTGTGGATGACGCTCAACAGATTGTGTAACAGAATAGTGTGACCCTTTAGTCTCCCATACCACCATTGCTACTAATTTCCCAGTTCTTCCGCAAGTCGACAATAATAACGAAATTACTGTGACAGAGAAGTCAAGATAAGAATGCTCCCTCACCTGAACAGGAAGAAATGCTCTCCTACTAATCGGGTTGGATGACGAGGAAGATAAAGGCGACAGTACTCTTGCATTGCTGGAACACGACCCCATCCGCTTCTGCTGTTGCTCCTGAGACCAGATAATACTCAACGAGGTCGACAGATCGATTTCGCGCTTATCAACCGACGGAGGAGACACTGTAGTTGGTTGAGGAGGATCTGCCTCACGTAGTCTCATTTCTGCCTCCACTTGGGAGTAAGAGGGTGGGGCAGGTGGATCGCGCAGGGTGAGGTAAACGGAGGAATGAAGGGCGAAGTCAGTATCGCCCAGATGACAGGGGAGAGGTTCGATTAACTTTTCTCCTTTTTCTTCCTCTTCCTCCAAGACTTGCGTCGCTTCAGGAGGAAACCTTAACACTAAAGAGGAGTCAATATCCTCTTCTGTCTTGGAATCGTCGTTATCGAAGATGTAAGTCATGTCACCGCGTCGTTCGCGAAGAGGAGTGGAAAATTTTGGAGGCGGAAGAGGAGAAGGTGGAGTACTCAAGTTTACTTCGGGAGTATTAGCGATAGATGCAGAAAGAGGAGCGCTCAAAGCGGTGTCGCCTGCGCCAAATGATGAGTATATAGTTTCGGGAGTGGCTAGATGTCCAGGTGTCAAACGAAGTCCTAGACGCCGTTTGCGAGGTCTCTGGTGGACTGAAGAGAAAGCAGACGAAGTAAGATGATGTCTGATGCAATTTTGTAATTCACTCAGTAGATATTTCTTTCATGACTTGACATGCACGCCGTCGGCGTGAAGCTGTACTTGCTCCATCTGTACTGCTAGTCCTCCAGCCCCTGGGTACGTTGGTGATGAGGTCACTTCCAGAATTGAAGGCTGTGGAAGATGATACCTACTTTGGGAATTACTTGATCTAAAGTTCTGTACAATGACCAGTAATGAGGTGGGATGCTGTTCTGGTAGATCAAAATCGTTCATTAAATATCTCACTAGTTCGTGACCACGACACCTCTTCCCCATGTCAAAATGTGCCCCTGTGGAGAGCTTCGTCTAGCCCTTGGAAAGATTTGCCTTATACTGCAATGGATTCACACACTTAAAGGCACGGACGAGATATTGGTCAATCAGAATTAATCTAACCGTCTCTTTTCTATTAAATGTGGGAGAAGTTGTGCAGCATTATCTACTGTTTGTAGTGGCCAATCTTAAAGGCACAAAAAAAGTTCCAGTATGAATACCCTGATTGATTGGTGGCATGAGTGGAGCCCCACACCCCCAGTGTAGAGAGTAAATCGCGGGCGAGTGTGAAGTTTTGCGAAGTACGGCCCAAGTTGCATCATCATCGCCTATTTGATGATACATGGATCTCGGATCATTAGTTTGTGATCTAGACATGGAGATGCGTTTAGCCGTCCCAGTCTTCCCCATGGAACTCCGGTCATACCCGCTACACTTCCAATGACCTAGTCCCTTTTGTACACCTATAATATCATCACCTCCGGAGAACTTGCTTTACAGCACATAATGGAAAATAAAGAACCTAGATGAGTGCAATAGTACATCAGAAAAGATCATCAAATGAAACATCAACGCTATCGAAAGCAGAGAACTAACTAATTAGAAAATCGGACGGAATAAATTAATCAAATCACAGCACACAAACCTTGTTTATCCCGTAGGTCATCAACACCATCAACTTGGGGCAGGTGAAAGGAGGTAGATCTACAAAGTGAAAGGTAATTTAACAACTCCTTCGACTGGCGAGCCTACTAATAGGAAGAACGGTAACTAACACTCGCGCCGTTGCTGAAGTCGATTCAGATTCAGTGGAGTTTTCTACCAGATTCTCGATAAAGGATGGAAAAAGATCCTCATTTTCACTGTGCCCCTCTTTCCCGTTCTCGGGCTCCGAGGTGACGGAAGACTCAAGAATGGACTAAAAGGGGTGAAAAAAGAAAGGAACTGATCCCACACTCAACAATGAATTCAAGGCTGCCTTGAATCGACATATCATCAAGTCCAAAAGTCTTGGTCAGAGTTCAAGTAATCTCTTGGAAGAGTCCTCTTTAACCTAGACGAATCAATTTCAGTGCACTTTTTTTCACTCCGTGTGGTCATGGCTGTAGTTGATTGAGCGTCCAAAGCGGTTTCCATCCATTATCTTGGTTTAGCCATTTTTGAACTTATGTGTTCACTCACAGACGACCCTGTGAGGCCAACTTATTACATCCCGAGTCCACATTACTAAGAGAGATAAAAGTGCGTTTCCTGAGTACACCTACAACACCAAACTTATGACAGACAATTACCACTTTTCCCTTTATGTGATTGACAGACGAAAACCACAAGATCTCATGGTGGCAATTCTAATACTGTATAACAAGGACAGCCGATATGCCAAACCACAATCATCCAGAAGTGAAGAAACGCAAAGCGAAACAAGATTTGGGTAAGCTAAATTTGACTCGCAAGAACCTACCGCAAAGAGGTCGTCATCCTGTTGTTCCTCCGCATTTTCAACCATACCATTCCCATCAATTCCATTGACCTCATCAGGATAGAGCAAGGTTGAGACAGAGGCCTTTGCGCTATCCAAAAGCGCTGCCCCTGAGTCATCCTCGGATTGTGATTGGTGCACCGAAGGTAACCACTCAGATGTTGCCTAGGGAAGACAGAGATTGCTACTAAGTGAACTTTGACCTTTTCAGCTATGATAGTCACAGTTACTACACCAAACCCTTTCCAGCATCTTGAGCCAAATTGTAGCCCTTTTGTCGTCATTAGAACCTGCTGCGAATTAACCTCCACACAGATGACAGAGGATTTTGCCCATTTGATCTGGGCCGTCCATCTTCCGACACCTCCGTCCATTTAAGGTAAAACTACTTTTAAATTTGCATGCATTTCAACGTCTTCAGAGAGAAACTGGGTGCTGAGCGGATTGAGGACGTGGGGGCACCACTCCAAAAGAGCATTAATCCCAAAATGTCATGGAGGATAGCTGAACCTGCGAGGAACCACAACCAAGAGATTATTAAGGTCAATTTGAATTATGACAACTAGGTCAATCTTGTGTTTTGTAAACTGCACAGTAACTGACTGAAATAAGATTTAATACAACCAAATCTGATCTCGTAAGATAGATTATTAGTAAATTATGGAAATGATTTGAGGACTAAAGCCCCCCTCTACGCTGTAGAAAGCTGGGAGTAACTTATATGAGAAGTCCAACAGTATTACAACGACAAACAACTTTACTCTTCAGTAAGTGTTCTCAAAAACAGCGACTTCTACACAAAAATCATTCGCTGTAAAACGTTGTTGACCTAACGGAATCTATGAAGAAATCGCCAGACACTCTTCCTTCCTACATAGCAGTCAATTTCAATTTGTCCGATAGGTAATATGATGCTTGACGAAGGAGAGTACTCACAGAGTGTGTTGATGACAGAATTTGAGGCGAAATGCCACTTGGATTCTGCTCATGTTACTTACAATAATGTTACTTCAGAGATGACTCAGACGATCTGATATAATATTCGAACCTTTGGGACTGAGTGACTGGCATTTAGGAAAGCAGAAAGCGAAGAAGCGAAGGAGGAAGGAAGGCGAGCATCATATTCTTCCGACGCTTCCGCCAATTTACAGAGGTCATTAAGCGTCCGTTGAGAGAGTCCAAGTGACTGTCTCTGAGTGTTCTCAATATACTGACCGCCCTCCAGTTGGCTGGAAGAGAGTTCTGCAACAAGTAGGGCAAGCAACTGATTTGTGAAACACGACGGCCAATAAAGTGTAGTCGAACAAATAGAAACATACCTTGAACTAGACGGTTAAAATCTCCTATTTGATCCAATTCGTTGGCCACTGGAACCGCGCCTGGTCTGTCTGAATTTAGAAAAGAAAGATTGGGAAATTAAATGCAGACCTTCAAGAACACTGGATTATGTTTGTATTTCTCTGGAAAAAAGACTGTACGCTTCGTAGTTACATACCGTAAATGATTCGTCCCATTAGCAACGAAAGTATCACGGACGGTAGACTCACTGGATAATGGAAGAAGCTCATCCACAGTAGGCATCTCCATAAAGGTTTCATTGATGACTCCGGTCTTCATCAACGCCTCCCTTCGCATGCGCTCCTCAGTCCAGAGGAAATCCAATCCCGCGTTCAGACTCTCCGCATCTGTAGGTAACATAAAAAGAGAGCAATCCTCTCAACACGTAAATTCTTACCTTCTTGCAGCTCCAACCGATTAAGAATGTCGCAAGCAGAAATATCAACTTCCACATCAGTACTGGTTTGCCGTTGGGCACTAGAGCGCCGACCAAGCGATCTATTTCGAGATAAGGAGACAAAAACAATATCTTCTTACCCGTCTTGAGACATGATGAACGTCAGTGGATTACTAGAATCGTTGTTGGATAAGATCTTTCGAGTTTTGATGTCTTAATAATTAGAAAGCAAAAAAACCCTTAGTAGAGGCATGCGCACACGGATTATCGATGAATTGCACCTGATAAACATACCTCGTACTCGAAAAGCAGTTGCCTCTAGATAATTCATACCTTGAAGGTTGTAATCCGCGCAAAACTATGGCAAATTTGATACTAGTAAACTGCCTACTTGAAGGAGATAGGGAATGTGAACTTCAAGAGGCTGAACCGGGAAACCTAAGGCGGACCCAGAAAGAAGTAACTCAGCAAGAATTGGAACATCTGCTGGATCCGTTAGGTAAATCTTTAGGAAGGTGGAGTCGCTGTCACGAAAGCCATAAATAGACCTAGATAGTGTTTGTGGATGAAATGTCAACTTGCCTAGCTGATAGAGGCTGAACGTCATAGACAAAGTCTTTGTCATCACAAGAATTGCCAGACCTAGAGGAGAGAACCGTTTCAATCCGCCTAACAAGGGTTCTCAAGTTGTTTCGTAGTTCGGCTCCGTCCACACAAGAGGCGATTGAGTGATCTTCGATAAAGAGGTATGGCAACACTCCATGAATATGAGCACATATTTTTTGGCCTACAATCAACAGTGTAAAAATTAATAACATTATTAAGCAGTATAGGGGAAATCTGTGTGCCAACAAGGTCGATAAATTAGTAAATAATATACCCTTAATCAATACAGGAAACTCATTTGCACTTACCAAATTACTTCCGAGTTATTAGAAAAAATTCAAACGCTGGCATAAAACAAAGGAATTGCAAGCTTTCAATGTCAAATGAGGTTCAAGAAAGCATGACCACTTTACTCAAACACCACATGAGGAAACGAAATACCTAACAGACCTGATGGAGAAGAACCAAAGCACCGGATAACAGGTAATCTCGAGTACGTCCGTCCTATTAGTTCTGAATATGGCAATTCAAATATTCGTAGTGGTTTGTCAAAGTAGTATTCGAGTTTAAACAGTTTTATAAAAAGGTTCGAAACCATCCTCCTGAGCACATTATTTTCACACTGCTACCATATGCAAACATTTAAATCAAGGGCGTGACCTCAGATTTAACCTTAGAGGTTAATAAAAGATCCATCTTATATCTCTCAAGTTGCACTAAAATTTGCAAAAAATACCTAGAATAGCATTATTTTTAGTTTTTTATGAGGGTTTTGAAGAGAATTGAAACAGGTAACACTTGCTTGAAAGTTGTGATTTAGTTTCGAAACTCAACCTATTAATAGCGGAGCAAATCTGTACAGAATAAAATTTATCCCTGTTGTGTGTAAGTATTTCAACAAATTGCAAAGCTTTGGGAATCTGGACAGACAACCAGAGCCCCAGCAGACACCAAATCGCTGCAGTAGTCTAGGCCACCCAACTAAGTTATCCTACCCCGCTGACCACCTAAAACAAATTCACCACCAGTTCCCAAGGCCAATGGTGAAAAACCGACCCCAGGTTCTCACACTTGACTAACACGATACAATCGAGAGGACAGGAGCTGAGCAGCGGAACAGCCCCCCAACCCAGAGCAACCTGACACCGCTACGGGCTACGGAACCCACACCACTCGGAGGCCACCGCGGACCACGACAAAAGTGCCACAAGCTGCATTATCTTTCCAGGACTTGTACAGTATTTAGGGCGATCATAAACATGGATCATTCACCCCCTTAGCCTTCTTCTTCACTACCTCTTCCTCATACTCCACGTTGCCAACGATGGGAATGATCTTCAAATCAGCCGCCAAATCAATCCTTCCCTTGAACGCCTCACAACTCTGCGCATCCTCCAACAATGAAGACACCTTGGAGTATTTAGTGGGATCCTTGCGTTCTAAAACGATAAAGAAAACCAGGTGTCATATTCACTATCAGCGCCGCGTATATGTGACGCTCCATCACAAATGTACGCCATATACTCCATCAGTCTGTGGTAACTGTGATTATATCAAATTATGGAATACATACAGACTAACGGAGCTTAATGGAACTAAATAGACATAATTAGTCTCAGACCGAGAGCAGCCCACATTTTTAGCTTCAAAGCATTATAAGTACGTTCTACATCAATGAATGATAGTTGGCGTTGTATTAAGACGGTAAAACATCAGAGGTTTGGTGGTCAACTTTCCTCCGAGACAGATTCTGCTACCTAAAATCCCAGTAAACTCATATACAAAGCGGTTTAGCCAACAACCCACCCTGAGCATAGACTTCGTCTTCAAGGAATCGCTGGCTAAAGTGGTTCAGTACCAACTGTCTCGCACCCACGGTAGCAGCGAAAGCAGCAGCAGAGCGAGCGGTGGAGTGACTCTTCGCGTACATCGTTTCGTCGCCTTGCTCCACCGAATGCCCCGTGGCCTCGTGCACCAGACAGTCTAATCGCCATCGACAACCATCACCTCCATCGCCGCAACTGTCGATTTTGGCGTCATCAGAGGGAGTGCCGAAGAGACAGATGAGGAGACGGCGCAGTTCGGAGGAGTCGCGACTATCGCCGAGGATCGCCACCCGTCGCCCACGGAGAGCGATATCCAGCACATCGGTAGGGTTAACTGTCACCTCTTTGCCGTCGCGTTCAAAGGTCACTGATTCACCCTGCGTTGAGGTGTCGAGTGAACGTATCAGTTGCAATAGAAGCGCTATTGTGCCAAAGTATTAGCTCGTCAAATCCATAATACATAATACATGAAGTCGATGATGGTTCACAGTGCCCAACTGACCCGCTTCAGCTTGCCCATGAGAGGACCCGGTTTGACACCAAGTGCGATGGCCTTATCTGCCCGAAGGTGGGGCAGAGGTGCTGGCTCGAGCAGGAGGTAGCCCACACAGGGAACCCGGTGATCAAGCATGAAAGCATGAACCACAAAGTCCTCCCTTCCATCCTTCACACCAACCTCTCTAGCTCCAAAGATGTCACGGAAGAATCCTGTATTTGAAAGAGGAATAAATAATGAGAATTCTGAACGTTTACACAACGCAATATCTCAACTGATAGCCTTTGAAGTGCGGCATTACAAGAATCGTCCTTCCGAAAATAGCTTCGCCAAATAAGAACAAATACAATCACAAATATTCAAAAGGACGAGAGCATGTCGGTCTTCTAAAGGCCTGGTAGCTAGAAAAGGATGATCACTCACCATCAGGATCGGGGTGAATGTCCCTGCCCTTCCTCTCAAAGCATAGCATTCTATCTCGCACGGGATCAAGGTCAGTGGCAGTCCAGTATGGTAAACAGTTGGCCACCTGGTCGGGTCGGGGATGCAATTCGTGGACCACGTAGGTCATTCGTAGTAGAGACCTTCAAATAAAGGCAAGTGTGTTGCGACGGAACTCTTGAACCTTCCTATCTTTGCAACTAATTAGAAAAGAGGTAATCTAGAAGTGATTATGACTCACCAGGAGATGGCGGTAGTGGTTCTCAAAAACCGTCTCAATCCACGGGGTCCATAGATTTCCAAATCCGGTGGACCAGAGTCCTCCTCCACCTCCATTGTAAGAACCCATCTTGGATCTACCGCATGTTCCCTCATTCCCGAAATAGTGGCCAGAAGGCCCGGTAATCCAAAGATGTGGTCACCATGGAGATGAGTGATGAAGATGCGCGAAATTCGCTGGGCTTTTACGGATGTACATCTCTGCAATTGTACCTGCGTTCCCTCACTGCAATCGAAAAGCCACTGAGTGCCGTTGGTATGACGCAGAACCAGACCCGGGGCTGCCCTGTGAGGCGAGGGGTAGGCCGAACCCGTCCCCAAGAATACGAAATCCTAGGCAGTCGGAGAATCAAACAGATACAAGTTGACAACAGGATCCCACTCCGTACGCAAAGATAGGAAAATCTTATACTCAATGCAGGAGATGCATACATACCTTCGTCAAGAGTTGATGGAGCGATTGTACAGGTCAGAACACTGTCAATTAAATGTATTTTTTCACAAAAAAGGTATTACAAAAGGTAAAGAAGAGGGGAGTAGAGTTTCAAGAAGGTGGTTTCCTCTTCGCTCGTAAGATAATGCCGTCTCTTTGGAGGGCCTCCCGAACTTTCTCCAGAAAAGCTTCGTCCGTCCACAAGGCATGATCAGCATCCGCGCCCATTGCACGCGCCTTCGTGATGAATCTGGAAGACGACAAAAGTGGAAGTCAATCTCAAATTCTACAACGGGAAAAAAGGAATATTGTGTTCAGAAAATTGTGCTTTTAAAACAATAAACGGTGTGATTATTAAAGAAGTCACATTCTGACCACCGACACCTCACAGTTAATGCATCTTGGTGGATCATAATTCACAGATAAGGATAGTTTACAAGAGCAAAACTGGGGAACTCTTTGGTGCTTAACCACCGCATTATAGAATTTCCTAATCAGGGCTTTCAGGAGAGAAATAGTAGAAGCGCCTTACTTGGCCATGCAGGTGCCTTTATCGCTTGGTGCGAAGAGGTTGTGAAGGTCCTCATCAGCGTTTTCGTACTTTTGAAGGAAAGCTCTGCAGAACAAAAGGCAAAGGCAAGCTACGTGAAATACTATCAATGGAATTTGACACTACAGCTTGAATGGGCAAAATGTGAATAATTGTTTTTGTCTATTATAAGTAATAGCATTGCCACTTTTAAAGAACCTCAGTGATACCCCTCCAAAGTTTGCCAATTTAGGTCTCAGATTCATTCCTAAAAATACTTAGCCAACTAAAAAGTTTTGATCACCTTCAATTTAAGTAGACTTGTCAATTTGGGATGAAGAAGGATTAGTAAGAAATCATGAAAGTAGTAGAGACATCGTCAGTCATCCAGAGTACATAACTCAATCACTTACCACCTACTCACTAAACGCTGCGATTTTAACGTAGCCTCAGTCATTTACAAGGAATGTCTAGGTACTTTTCACACCTGATATTCTAGTCGAAAACGACGAAGATAGGAGTAGAAGCAGTAATACACCAACTCCAAGGATGACGTCCTCTACGCAATAAGTCGGGAGTCCATGTAGTTTGGAATGAAAGCAGCAAAGCTGGTGTATTCTAAGGGGAGGAGAGTTGCGTCACGTTTTTCAGTAAACAAGCTTATACTGATGTTACGGTTGCAAAGGGAAACGCAACACGAAAATACAGGGAAGGTTTATCATTCAGAACCCGTGAACCAACGATTCCCTACTTTTCTAAATTAGGAGAGAGGCTAGCTTCCGCAGCTCTGCAAACGCGTTAAATTCGGGTCGAAAAGAAGACAACCTCTACATCTTGTTTACCTGATATCAGATGAAATGAGGGTTCAGGAAAAGCGAAAAGCAGTATGAAACACCAGGAAGAGAACCAATGCACATAAGTAAGAGTGTCTGACAAGTCCGTACATGTTATGATGAGTCACTGTAACGGGCTACTTTGGTCATCTGATACACAAAAAATACATCAGGCAATTCCTTATTTTTCGTGGCTAAATCTTCACACACTACAAGGGGCACCCCTCACCTCACGCAATCTATTCTACGAGTCTCTCAGCATTCTTATTCGTCTGTCGTATAACAACCTCAGGGATAACTCAGACATTACAAAAATGACAACGTTGACAAATCCATACCGACTAATAAACAATGTAGGTTTTTGTCAGCCTGACATTAGGCAGAAACATGAAAGAACGGAAATATCTGCTCTGACTTCGGATTCTCGAGTGAAGAACCAAAGTTTTGTATGAAGGGGTTGCTAGTGATACAGCAAATTAGACAGTGAGTACTGACAGTAATCTGCATCGAAATAGACAAAAGTCAAGGGAGCAACATAAGCAAGAAGCAGCATCTTAGAAGGAAGGTGTTCATGACGAATGAACGAATCTGTAAAGTCCCACGGAAGGGCTACCGGAGCCAAGAAATGAGATATTTGATGGTAGGGCAGGTTCGGCTAGATGTCCAAAATCTTACCCAAATCGAAAACAAAAGGCAGCCCTGTTTCTTGCAATTAATGAGGGAAGCCAGAGAAACTCACACTCGTCCAATATCCTCTGCATAGAGTATCTCCCGAACGCGGAGATCGGTTGGTAGTGATCGCTCCAAGGTGGGCTCCACCTTGGGGGGAAAAGCCTTGTAGACGTCGTACCATAGCGGCCTCTCCTTCGGTTCCATTGCCCCATTCTCCATTAAGCCAGTAACTCTATCAAAGTGCAAAGAGGTGAGAAAGGAGGATGACGTGCCTACCTTCTGAAAATGCTGGCCACCTTGTGCACTCGGCTGCCGTAAGAAGACATTATAAACGCTGTAGATCGGAAAAGTACCAAACATTTACAAAGGAAGAGGTTGCGACGGGAAAAGCTGCTGAAAACAGGAAGGATGTGGACTAAATATGATAATACTAGAGGCATAGTATGCCCATGGTGTAACTACGCACGAATGACTATTAAGCTTGTGAATAGCTCAATCGGAAATAGAGTTAAGCGGATAAGAACATGAGAACTGTCAATATATAAGGCCAGAGAATGATAGATAAGAACATGGCGGTTTTCGCTGAGATAAACACCTTAATGTTAAAAAATTCCAATATCACCCAAATAGCAAAGTATTGCCGTGACTATAAGCGCTCAATTATCAGTCATCAAATCGGCCAACTGATGTAATGCAATAGGTAGTGGGTGAAATGCAGAACGTGAAGGGTCATGCAAGCAACAGGAAGAAAGTCCTAATGAAAGAGAATAAATTGTCCTAAAAAGCAGAGGATAAACTGATTTCGGGGAAATAGGCCATCAAAACCACATAAGGAGGACCTAAGGATAAAGCAATGGAAAGGTAGAACGTGGCAACTCAGTAATCATTAGATGTAGACCATTTTGTATTTTGAATCAATTTTAAGTTGTTTTACTTCAACGTCCTACTGAACATTAAGGCGATCCAAAAAACGAGAATATACGAAATAACTCTGAGACCTAACATGCAAAGCCATACAATTCCTTCTTTCGAAAAAAGACTCAAGGTCAAAAAACAAGTCAGTCTCTAGCTGGATTACTGAATAGAGAAAGAAACAATTAAGCCTGATGCAATATGAAATGCGCTAGTAGTAGCACAGCAGGCAGTGGAATTAATTAAAGAAAAGAGAACAACGGTCCACCACGGTGTGCGGCGTGCCACACGAAGGACACCGACCCAAATCAGTCAGTTATGCAAAAGCGACCTATAAGAAAATTATAATGTAAATCAGTAAAATAATACATTATGCAGGGTCGGCACTTCATCAAAGGTAAAAAAACACTGTATTCAACATTTACAAGTGAGCTTTCAAGCAGCATTGACGTTAACGAGGTAATTCAGGAATATTTGCATGCAACAAAAGCGTCTGTGCCGATATTACACTTATTAAAACAGCGAAATGAGGGTAGATACATAGGCAAAAAAACATATTCTACAGCAAATCAAATTATTCTTTCAAAATACAGCAGTTCGTAACCAAGTTGTTGCATTCAAAACGATGTTTCTTGATTGTTTTTTCATATTTTTTAACAAAAAGGTTTTTTACTAAAACTGAGGCAAGAACTCCGCAACATGCTTTTTTGTAGCTTTTAATAATAATCTGCATAACCGGAACACGTTTAGTTAATGTTTTAAGTGTTCTAATTTTTTCTGACCCTGATCGTTTTAGTGCACAAATAGGTATTTCAATACTTGGCCTGCTGTTTAGCGGTGAATTGTATGAAATAGAATAGCATGTGCCCACGTTTGTAATGCTCAAGCATAAGAAAAAAGGCACTGATGATCATATTTCCGAGGCCAAAGTAAAAAGTTTATCATACGAGTCAGAAGAGAACTCGTATAGCAAAACTGTTAGGATATCAGACGATGTATTTTACCTTGGAATGAAAGAAGCCGAGATAGATCAAAAAGACAGTCACTCAGGAATGGTTTCACCGGATTCTACCTACTTCTCCGGCATTACATCTGATGTTAGTGAACATCTCACCAATGGTTTGTGGCTACAATTTTGGTATCTTTTTATTAATGACTTTTCCAATTGTACTGAGTTAACGTCGTTGGATTGTTGTTGCTAGCATTGTTAAAATACATAATTTTTTAAATGGCTTTATATGGGCTTAACTTTTGAAATGTAAAAATGCGATTTTGCTTTTAGGTGATGTCGTAATTACAAAGTATGTTAATTTGTTGCACTTTTTCATTATCTTTCCTAGATTTTTATGCTTTTGTTCGTGATTTTTATACAAAAAAGATATCTGTGTGCTTTATTGCCTCTTGTTTGTAAGATACTCTCTTTTTCACTCTACGTACCTAAAAGATATTCTTACTCTTATCTAGGTTGTCGGCAGAGCCGAAATCGGCACCCTCGATAAAACTTTTCACCATTGCATCAACAGAGGGCTTGCATCTACGATCCCACAGTGTAATTTATGCTCCACCGCATTTTTTTACACCATAACGAAGTATTTTTACTTTATTTCTTTTTCCATTTAAGGATTCAGTTTTTGTGGCCGCGGAGCGGATGACCTCTTGTGTTGATACTACTACTCATACAAAATGTCGCTTTGCCTCGGAAACCACAGCATCGATTCTAAAAGCTGCGGAGCTCCATCAAAATCTGCTAAATTTGCGGCTTTCTATGAACCTGCTCTATACAGAACGTTTTCAACTCCAGAAAGAACTTGATGGGATACTCATGTAGGCTTTTCTTTCCTCGCCTTCAGTCCTATCAAGGTGTAGTTAATGTCAGTGTGTGGTCAGACTGAAGACATTTTAGTCACTTTTTTAAAGTTGCGAAAACTTGGGAGTGTCTGATTTTTGATTTTGAAAGATCTAAAAAAGAGGTTTTTGGTGCAATTCTTATGCCATATCTTCCAATCTCCATGAATGCTAGCCACTAATGGGGGTAATGAAATTTGTCGGTATTTTGATAATTATATATCCTTTTCACTACCTATACAAACTATTTTGATAAAAAAAACCGTTGTCTTTGTATTGAGTTAGTTACTTTTTAAGTTTGTTGCCTGATTCCGGGACCAACCCATTCCTTCATCGGTGCCCTTGCCAAGTTTATTTTTGACTCCGTAAACAGAGCGTCTAGTGTCTTCCTCAAAAAGGCATTTTACATCACGCGCCTTCAATTCTTTCATTTTTGATCTCTGGTAATTTTAGCGCATTTTCTTTTGCGATTTTAGGCGTCGTGAAAATCTCCTTGCGGAGCATCAAGATCTTCAAAGTGCTCAATCATCTACAGTAAGTAAAAGTGTTCCCAGTCTTTCCATCTCCTTAAAGATCGCTAAATCCGAGGCTTTGGATTTTACATGGGTGCAGGTTGTAAGAGAGTTGGCACAGCTTTGCCGGGTAAACTGCAGCGGTATAACGAGAATCACGTGCGTATGCGAATATTGGCACACTGGGTTTGGAAGAAGCGTGTTTTTCTATCTCTGTGATGGGTTAGTCCTCATACAAATAACACCAGCAAACTCAACTCGGATAGTCAGGGAAATAAACTGATTAGGATCCATTAAGGATGGTTTGACATAGTCTCTGGCATAATAAATGCGCCTCTTAAATCTTTTGTAAATTCAAGCCGCCAAATATGCAGCGTCTTCTTGAACTTCGAAAAAGCTTGGTCCAGGAGTCCGAGAGGACTGCCAGGCTGCTCGATGCTGCCATCCAGGCCAAACACAGTGTCCTGGATCCAGATTCACTAGAGGCGATTAATAACCTTGTTAGGGAACACCGGAAAGAGCGTCAGAACATCGCCAATCGCCAGTTGAAAGCATTGGAAGAACAGATAGACCTTCTGAAGCAGTATGAGGACAGTGTAAGTCCGTTTTGTTATCTGTGTTGACTTATAAGCCTGTGCTCTAATAATCCCACGAGAGTCTAATCCTTTCATTTCATAAAAATCTCTTAATCGGTAGAACACATTAGAGTGGATCATCCTTTTTACCTAACCTGCACGATCTTTTGCTGGGCTACACAAAATAAGTTAAAAATCTATTCATTTTTGTGCAGTAGTAAATGAAATAAATGCATAGATATGCTTAGTAGAATCCGGACATTTTCTCAGTGAAACTACTTGCAAGAGGTTTGGCGCGTTAAAAGACATTTTTCATATCAATAAATACAGCTACTTGTTTTAACCGTTGGACACACTTCGGATGAAAAGAAACTAGAAAGGAATCGAATGCAGCGGCATTTAGTGTCGGCAGATTAAAACGATCCCACTTTCAAATTTTTAAACAATGCTCACGTAGCTGATATTTAATTTGCTTTGGTGGAAAACATTTGAATGTTTGCCCATAAATATACAGAAACATCGGGACACCGTGAGTGGAGACACAATTGAACGTTGTCGCCCCTTCCACCTAAACATGCTTAAAGTTCATTGCCACCAGTTCGGGTTTCCCTTGTTGCAGTTCCCAGTGTTTCCTCAGATGGCCCGGTGAGGCATAGAGCAGTGTGCGGGAATGGCTTATTTTTAATGTTCAGAGAGGCTGAAAGGCTTTGAGCACGGTTGGAAGGCCATTTCGCCTAGCGGAAGTGAAGCCCGGGAGGACTGACGTTCCTGCGTACCCCAAAGCGCAGTTAAGCAAAATATCGCGTCACCAGAACTTATGAGCCTGCAAAAGGCCTTGCTGCCAGTGCAAAGGAAGACAGGTGGGTTGGCAACAAAAATGACATGATAGTAATTTGATGAGTGAGAGATGGACGTTGAGTGAAGCCAAATTTTTGTGATTGGAAGCCGCTGCCATGGCGGAAAACGCGCTTCATTTGGTTAGCGATGTGAATGCGGAGCGGACGGTGGAGCGTGAGAACCTCGCGTTGCACTCTTGGCCTCGAATTTGCCACAATCTCATCATCATCACTCCCACAGAATTAAATCAGGTAGCTCAACCACTCAATGAGGCTCTTCCTATTCAAAATGCCTCACTACAGCACAGTAGGGTGAATAAGTAACCCCACTTCGTAACAAACTCAGACACCCTCTAAGTATTCTTAAAGACGCACTCATTCGTGAGATATCTCCTAGTTGTCAATTAACGCCGGATGGAGTGCAGCACCTCAGCTTTCATTTACACCTATCTGAGTGGAAAGTTCTCGCGAGAAAAAAGGCTCCGACACCACCGCCTACTCTCGCATAGGTTTTCTCAGCGCGTGTGCGGTCTATTCTTGATGAACATCAAGTGTAGTGAAAAATTTGCAGATGAGATGTGAAACTGGGTTTGAAGTGTTGCCTATGCGCACAAAGTACCATCCTGTCTCCCCACCTCCTACAGCTGGTGCGGTGAGTTGGCGCGACTCCAAATGAACCAATCAGGCTGCGAGGAGTACCAAAACCGAAGCCAAAAAAATTTTCACAAATGCTTGGGAAATTTCCCTTGATTCAAGATTTGGAAATAATTGTAGAAAGTCAAAACGTCTTAAACTTTTGAAAGGTTGGGTAATTTTTAATTTAAATCTGTCAAAAATTCAAAATAATAACGACAACATTGATAAAGAACCGTTTTTTTTTAAATCTCCAAAGATTACAAGGGTTCAAGCAATCCGTAAGATTCAAATTTGTTTGAAGTTTCGGGAAAATTCTGCAATTCTTGTACCACATTGTAGTGGTCTTGTTTACTTTTTTGTAAAGACTTAAGCATACGACTTAAATTAAGGCTGACCGAAAGTCGTCGTTCTGTTGCTGTCAATATGAGTGGAGAAAAGTGGGAAACTGCCATGATTGCTCTCAACTGCCGTTGATTAAGTCTTGGATGGGAGGTGCGCAGTCTGGAACATTCCCCGCAAACTTCACAAGAAATGCAACAGTCCTGAATGTTAATGCAAAAAGGAGGAATAACGAAACGGAACTCGGACTGGTAAACATATCCGGACAAATTTTCTCCTCAATGAACAGAACGACGTCTCCTCGGTTTGGAGCGTCTCAGCATTACGTAATTCTTTCTGTGTGAATGAATTTTACGGTGTAGTAATTCTATTTACAAATTGGTTCTCAGCGTCGCCCCTCCAGCCTTCTGATAACACAATTAGTGCTGCCTCCATGGAGGAGACAGAGAAGGTAGCGGCATTAAGGGAATCTCGAGATCCACGAGAATGTCAGTTGAGTTGAGAAGCAAAAATTGCCCGAACTCAGACCGATCCTTTACATGTTGTGAATCGGCAATTGTATCGAAGCCTAAAAGACAGTGACTGCTCTTAAGATGAACATATTTTTAGTATGGAATCTTTAAAAAAGCAAAATTTCCTCTGACTTCCTTCTGTGGACCATAATGTCTAATTTTTTGACTTCTTTTTTGCACTATGAAGCGTGGCCCTCCTTCCATGCGTCGTTTTATCAGTAGATACTAAAACTGCGTCGTGGAAGGAATGTGCCGAAAATCTGGGCTTGAAAAGTTACCAGGTGCAGTGTTCTGCTGACAAGAATGTATTCTCGAAGGCGATCCAAATTAGCTCAACCCGAGTACTGGATAATGAGGTGTTGAAGGCGATGGTTGTGGAAGTGGTGGATCAAATTACCCGCCTCTGGTTCATTTTTTCATTCGCCACTGAGCAGTCTATTTATTCTTCCACTCACCCCTAACTCATTCGATGACCAGAGACTGTTTGCGCGGTTTTCGGTCTTGCTCTTGGCAAAGACTTGACGTGACATCTAGGAACCTGTGGAATGGATGCGCTGTACAGCATGGATATGAGCCAGTATATAGGTACGGCATCCTCCATTGTGCTCTCTACGATGTCCCTCTTGCCTTAAACGGTCATTATATTCCAATCACACCAGATACTCTTCCATCTTGTCCGTTCTACAACCCGATCTTAAGCCGTTGAATAACTTGGAGATGTATAACGAAGGATTGCGTGTTGCTCTTAATACCCGAAACTACTGGGAGATCAATGTGTCAAAAGTAACGACGGAACTATTTCTTTTCGAATGTGGTTGCAAATTATTGGAAGAAATTAAGTAAGTCTCGCCCCTGAACTCACCAAATAACTTTGCCGTTGAGTTTAAACATGGTTTTAACATGGCTAATGACGAAATTCACGTCTATGTATTACACAAAGTAGTCAAAGGGTGTGGACTACCCACATTCATGCCCTGTTGGAGCAAGGTCAATAGCACCTCGCCCCGAGTCAGCCCTGACGGTGAAATTAGGCGAGCTACCAAAGATAGACTTCCTAGTGTCGTACAGAGTGGCTGAGAACATCTAGCCTTGGCCATATAAGTAAACTGGGGGGGGGGGGGGTGGTAAATTAGCCTTCTCTCCTTTAAGTCTCGTTCCCAGCGAGCCCCGTGGTTGCTTTTGCGATTAGACTGTCGCAACGTAAATGCTTTTCAAATCATCTCACTAGCCTAGAACGGTGATGGTGACCTTATTTTTTGGAGTCGAGAAGGCAATTATGTGTCCCGTCCAGCTGCCCTTTCTGGACTGAGCCAAGAGGATTCACTGGCTTTGTAAAGCTAATGGTCTGGGATGAAGTACTTCTCCAAACTGGACTTGTCGTCGACAGCCCTTATTGTTGTGATTTATCTGTCTAATCAGCCATCTACTGTATGTTCCTTCCCTCCTTGAGGTTAAGGTTTGTTAACCGGCCAATAAAATTGGGACATTTGCCCTTTTGAAGCGGAGTCCCCTATCCCTGCCACTAGTATGCTGCTCCGAGTCTTCTTTGAGTTCGTAGTAGCAGTGTGGAGGACAACTAACTACTCAGTGTAAGGCGCCACTAAACTCTAGAGACTTAGCTGAGTTGGAAGAGTCCACATTCAAAAGGGACACTTTCTTCGTCAACTGATATAGAAAGCGGGTTTTGTAGAGAATAAACAAAAACGTTTATTGGCATTTCAGGCTTCCCAGACTCGTCTTTTGAATTACAACATCAAGATTTTTTACGTCAATCGCCATCTAATGAATTGTTTTGGTGCATTCCATCACCACCTCGCGCTGGGAGTTTGACGAATGTGACATCATTAAGAGACCCTAGCCAGGCTACAATTTACTCCACAAAGAGGGCTCTTTGCCTCCATAATTAGTCCATTTTACTTTCTTAACTGTCAGTTGCCAAGAAAAGGCGATTTTTAGCACTTGCGACGGTATCATCGTGGTACCATCAAAATTAGGCGAAGGGTAAGGTGAAGCAGTATTTCTCTCTTCTATCCTGACGCGTTTTATCCCTGCCTTTTGACTGGTCTTAGACATGACCATTTCTGAGAAAGAAAATCTTCCTACAACATTTAAAGTTTGTTAAGTGGATAGATCTCGGGCGCAATTGCTGCTTGGCCCCTCAGTGAGTGAGCAGTTGCATCTTCAGTGCCACTGCCTCCCTCAAACAGGCATGTGGTGCTTTGAAAGTGTGTATATAGTGTGGGAAATTGAGTATGTCGTACGGAAGGAGCGAACGAATGTTACAATACAGAAGCCAGTCCCAATTAAAAGTTGTTCAGTAAACAATGCGGAAAAGAAGCGTTTTGTAGCATGCGTGAATAGGATAAAGAACAAATTTATGGCGCTTGAAGCTTATTGTCTGATGTGTTGCGCCCATTTGGTGTGCAACTTTTATCACGGCTTCCCCTTCCTAATGTCTCAATGGTGACAACAATCAAGACTGGGGAGTCTTCCTGACCATGATGCGCCTCCCCTTGGATGACTCGTAACCAGGTTCTGACTGGTCGGTCCTGTGACGCCATCTTTTCTGACAAATTTGGCAGTCTCGGAACCGAGTTAACTTCCGTTGGTGAGGCAGACATGCCCGAATCACATTCATCAGTTTAGTGCAATTGACATTTGATAATACGCGACTTAAAAGTAGGCAAAAGGGTGATGGAGAGCACAATCAGGCGAAGCAAACCGAACCGATAAAGTGACGTCTATCTGTGCTTTGCATGTAAGAAATTGTATGTGCTTAATAAAATCCAGCAGGTTGCAGCAAGCCCTTGTGGAAAGATTAGCCAAAATCGGTGTCAAATTTCATACCTTCATTTCTGGTTATCTCCACTCCTTCTAAGTACCCATTTTCATTTGGTTGAGAGATGCGTAAACGGTTGTTGGGAGAAAAGACCATTAATTTGTAAAGAAATATCTTTTTAATTCTGTTGTGCAAAATTAGGTGGACTTGATCTTGACGATGCTAACTCCTCTAGTTAGACTTTAACAGCTAATCCTACTACTTTCGACGTTTTTATGTAACCAGTGAATGGAACTTGAAAAAAAAGACCTTCTGACTTCTTAATGCACCATGAAGAGGAGGCTGGTAAACTTTAACCATGAATGTAGCGTCCCGAGTTTTCCTTGAGGTTGTAACAAACCAAAGTACCGTGAAGGTACATATATTGCTAACTTGTGGAAGAGTGGAGGGGCTACTGACCTGCCTCGGAGGTCCTACTGCAGAGCGGAATTGTAACTTGTAGTGACTGAAGTGCCCTCGTCATTAAACATATACATACAGCGTTAAGCAGCATATCCACTCCCTACATCTATACTACTTATTTAAGTGAGCCTACCACCTTTACCTCGCATTTAGCCACTTTGTTCTGTTCGTGGAAACGTATAAGTTGCACCACATATTTCTTATACGTGCGTAAAGAACACTTTTGAAACGTTCTACCTTCGCTTATCTCGACAGGTGGTAAATATTCTTTTCGGGTAAATTTATTCTAACGCATTTTCATGACTTCCTTGTCAGAAGCTTCACATTTAATCCACTTCCAGGTGTAGGGTTTGACGAAGATGTGTGCTTCGTTTCACAGCTCATCTGTAGACATTTCCTTCTGACAGGAGAAAACGAATCCCTCACCATTTTTCCCTTTGGTAAACAGACATTATTGTGGTGGAATTTCGTTTTGGTCATAGAAGTATGTTGTGGCGATTGACAGCAACACGTCATTCCCCAGGATCCAGTAAATTTTCGAATAGACCTGTCACTCACTCCGCTCCACTCAGTTTTGATACTTCGTTTACTTATTTTTTTGTGAAATTCAGCCCTCTCAGTAAAGTTGAAGGATACTGGACCTCAAAGTTCTTTAATTTTTTTCTTTGTTTACCAAATAAGAAATAGAAAACTTTATAGCGCTATTCCACACTAATGAGACGTGTCGATTTCTCCCTGAAGTCGTGATAAGCCAATCTTGTGGGGGGGAAGATTATTTGCTAACCTGCAAACAGACTGGATGACTCCTTCAACCATGCGCTGAAGTTGTGCCGTCAGTTAAGCGGCTGCCAAGTGCTACTAACCACAGATCATCAACAAGGACGATGAGGTGGGTTCGCGTTTTGCGGAGAATACTACTTATTAGTGGTGGAATGTGATGCTGATGTGGCTGATGCCTCTGATTATCTTTCGGAAAAGAATTTGCTGAGAAGTAGTTCCAAAGACTGGACGATGTTCTACACTGAGCATATTGTGTGTGTTGATCGTCTGTAATAGAAATATTTGCCCAAAAGCAACGAAAAGAGATGAAATCTCGTGTCCTGCAACTGTAGCATAGAACTTGACCTCTCTCCATCAGCAGTTGGTGTAGACAACTCGAATTTGAAGATCTGTCATCGGGAGTTTGGCCATCCAACGCAGATTCTCTCATCTTTTTAGCACTTGCTAGCTACTGGGATGGTGTTATCCTACTGTTGCCACCCAAATAGTGCCATGAGTCTCTCCCACAGCCATTTTAAGCCATGCCTTTATGAAAGAAAAGAGGTTCCAGCCTTCCAAGAGGACTGGAAAGTCATAGGCCCCGCCACCAAAGCGCAAAATTGAACCAAACGCTGAAGCGAGCGCCAAATCACCTCACTGAATCGGTGATGTGGTGGAATGCGTTCATCCACTCCCAAGGTAAAATTACATAAACGAATGTTAGCAGGTTGAACTGCGACATCGCTTTGCACAGGCAGACTGCAGAAGCCTCCTCATTCTTAACCATTTATCAAGCCTTTCTCCGTGAAACTTTCGGGCTTTTTGGTTGTATCAACTTGCCTCAGCCATTAAATAACTTGTTTTAAGAGGAAGGGATTTCCTCTGAGAGAAAAAATTTACTTAGCTCCTCAGATTAACAATGAGCCTAACTGAAAAATTCCTCTTCTTCCTCTATTAATAGACCGGTAAAAATCGGTCAAAATCGGTACATCTACAGCAAAGGCTACTGGAATCGAAGAATCGTCTCCGCACCTTTTTGAGTGCTGAACTTTCTCGAAAAGCTGCCCTTTTAGAAGAGAAGACTGGAATAAAGGTAAACAGACTGATCAAGTACCTCCTGATTGGCATGCCGGTGCTAGTCTTCTGAACTAATTGTCTGTCCTTTTAGCTACCGGAAGTGGAAGTCCCATCTACAAATGAGGCGAATCGAAAAATCCGTCTAAAAATTTTACGTTTTGGGCTGGAGGAACGGAGGAAGTAAGCATGAACTTTTTTGTGCGTGACTCAAATGGAGAGTTTTATGCCGTTCATGTATCATGCAAGTGTCCCTCCAAAGTCCGAATTCGGTGGAGATGTCTGCAACCTCGGAAAACATTCCTGATTCTGTTTTCCGGATGTTTCCACATTTCTTGTTAACCATGGAATGTTCTAGAAAGTAGCGCTTTCGCTTGCTCCCTCCGGATTGACTGACACTGAACACAGATGGACTTTAATTGCGCTGCGACTTGTTATGGAAGCAAGGTCAATCAAATGCTGTAGGTCTGGGAAACGGAAAGCATCAGATGTGTCTGACATCATCCACCGGCCACTTGGCCCTCACGCGAGCGCAAGCCCTGTCCATTGAGCACGCATGTTTGTCAGGACTCAAAGACTTCTGTACCGAGGCCTTTGTCCACTGATCACTCGAACTTGGGGCTCAGTGAGATCCAGGCTCACGAACACAGACAGCCGTCATTAACAGACACAATTCCCTCAATCTCCTTTGTCGTCTAAGAAGATACGTAAGTTGTCCACCGGAATGAGAGTGATTAAAAGAAGCTGGCTTGGAGAAAATTCATTCCGTTGTTGGTATATCTCGCTACACTGGCTTCCGTTCCGCTCTTGATATAGCCATCCACCACCTTTCACTTAGTTTCAAGCCTCTTATCAATTGAGCTAAACTGGCGTGCATGGTTCAGGTTTGTCTCCTTCACAAAGCCAGTTCCGAGGCTGCAGAAGTCCTGTGCCGAATTCGCTGCATGGTGTGTGGCAAAGGCTGGCGAACTAACCGTTCAGAAAGCTGATTCAGGCTACGAGGCTATCAAGGGAAGACGCATCCTATTCAAAAATGCCTTCTTGTTTTGAAAATGACAAATTACGTGTTACTATTGCCACAATAAAATCATTTGAATTGAAGGTGTTAAGATTAAGTGTGAGTACTGCTCAACGTGAGTGGCTGCCAAAAGGTCATTGCATACCTGCATCACCCAGGAGGAGGAAGTCGTAGTAAAAGCCACCCATGTGTAGTGACAGATGACAGACAATAATTTTCAATGAGCGCTCTTGGGACGCTCACACAACACCGTCTAAATGTATCCATTTGTCCACCCATTGGCTGCGAAGCAACCTTGGCGTCAAAGCCGTAGGGACTGCCACCCTAACGTTTGAGGGCATAGATCACGTCAATCGCAGTGGCGGTCTTGCGTTTCGCGTGCTCAATCTACGTGACAGAGTTGCGAATGACATTCCCGAGAAAGACTTAGAGCACACTGTGAGTCTCTGACTCTGTGGATCACTTCATTTCTGCCACATTTGCAATGAAACGTGCAACTTTTAGACTGTGCGCTGACTGGCCCGTAAGGAGAAATAGCTCTTGTATTGCTATGAAGAGAAAAAAGATGGCATTAATTAGTCCTGTTTGATCCCCTCACGACTCAACCTACACTTCCAAGACACTTCAGCCCTAAAGAGGAAGACTATGCCTGCCTGGTGGAGCACCGTAGACGCGATTGCTCACTTGCTATCTATCTATCTGGCTGCTATAACGAAAAAACTTCAAAATGCTCGAGAAATACTTCTCCTTCTCGTAGAGAAACTGCCTAGACTAATGAATCAGTCGAAAAGTAACGCAATACTAAGCTTCACCTCTTATCGCCTCAAAGAAGGGTCTATAAGGAGAGCCTGCGGACCGCTTTAGGCTTAAGGGAAGGGAGAGAGGAGAAGGAGGATACCGCCTGCCCCCCCCTTCCCTACCGTCACGGTTCCTCAAGCAGACACTCATTTGCGAAATAAACACGTCAAAGTTTTACTTCTACCTGGTGCCGATTAGAAAGTAAGTAGCTTTCGATTAAAGAGATGGCCCTGCCTTAAGCGAGAGGGCTACTACCTTCGTATGGTCCAAATACAAGGGTTGTTTCAATGAACTTCCTAGATGGCAAAGCATACTGCTCTCCTAGTCTGCTCTCCCACCCTCTGTCATTCGTCACTTCATTGCAACTTGTCACCTCGTTTATGATGAAAGGTGAAGTATCGGGCAAAAACATCTCAACACATTAAATCTTTGAACTTAGGAGGCCATCCAAATCATGCCTTGATGATGGCCATTAAACTGCCGCGTGGGCGTATGAGCGCGGATCCTTTTAAGCTCCCGACTTAAAATGACCAGAGATGAAAATTTCAATACCACTGTCTTTGATGGCGACATTTGGTAGTGGAGACACAGGGTGGTGTCCCAATCTCACTGATTCACGTCACTTTGAGTGGTCTTTGCCTTATACTATTTGTAAATGGTAAAGACCAATCAGAGCGAAGTGAAGTAGGGCGCCAGTTCCAAGACGCTTTGGAATGTTCAGCAACTGGACTTAAAAAAGGAAACTTCTGTAGGTTTGAATCAGGAATTTCTTCTAAGGTTGCGACATCCGTTCCAACTAAAGACTTTGTTTCCAAACTTGGGTCGTACCAGCGGAGACGGCTTTGCGCTTTCACTACACACGACACCCTTATAGAGCAATCAATGTGAATAATTTTTCAACTACCTTTCTTCCAGGATGGTAATTCTCGTACTAAACTGTCAGAGTAGCTAATCTTATTGGACAACTGTTGTCGCACGGTATGCTCAGGAGTGATTCAGTGCCACCTCTATTTCCGCCTTTACCTCTTCTGACGGCAGCGCAAATGCGTGATAGAGGCAATAACAACATCCTGCTCATGCATTTTAAAAACTAGTTATTGTTAAGGAGGCACGTTATAATTTGGTTCCATCAGCTTTTCCCATTTTTACTTAAGGGGTCATTTCCAATCTCTTGGAATGTCTATCAGTCAATTATAATATAATGCCCTTTTACGTCAGTCCTTACTTTGACAAAATAAATCCGGGTTTGTATCTCATTCTGAAGAGAGTAAAGGAGGACTTACATGGGCTAACTTGGCTTTTATTGTGGTTTATTTTAGGAAACTGCAGCATTATGAAAACACGGCTGCAACACTTGCTGCAAAACTTGACTTCATGAAGCAGGAAGCTCACAAGAAAAGTGTTTCATTACTTGCTGATCTCTTAACTTCAATAGAGGTTCAACAGAAGAGCTATCGAGAGTTTAGACACCAAGTTGAAAGAATGGTAGGTATTGTTGTGAATTTCTAACCGGAGTCCTTTTTTAGCGCCGTGAATTGGATGAGACGAAGGTGAGTTCGGAGGAGAGTACGGAGGTGACGATTGAGGAGAGAAACCAGAAACTCGGGGCTCTGACAGCTAAAATTAGTGCTATTAAAGCAGAGATCTGCCAATTGAATGCACAACCCGCTCTCGCATATCAGCAACTCGATGCCACTAAGTGAGTTGTCTACTGAAATTCAGTTTAAGTAGGGAGGGTTTTCAATAAGGTACTTAAGAGATTAAACCTTGGGTTAAAATTGTTATTACCTCTACGGTATATCTGGAACTCCTAATCATATTAATAAAAAAAGAAACCATGCCCCTAAATCCTTGTAAACTTATTTAATTTGCTTAAATTTTTTGCCGCGAGTCTTTACGGAAAGGCTAACTAGAGCAGCATGAGGGTTCGCAGCTAGTGAGCATAAAGGCTGGGAGGCTGTGTGGCCACGACCACCCGAGCAGGTCAGACCGCTAAGTGAAAGTTCTCGCTCAGACCACGTATCTGGTCACTGTGCAACAAAAATTAAGACTTCGGTTCCGTAGATGGACCGTGAATTTGACGCATCTTCTACCTTTTTAAACACTCACGAAAAGTGCACTTTCCGCGCTTTTCCTTTTATCTCGACCGAAGTCGTAAATGGTCAGTTTGACAATTAGATGTGCTTTCAAAAAAGTCCGAAAAGAACTGCTGATTGGTCATTTGGAAGATTTCCTCCTTAATTCGTTTGAGGGGAACTTTGCTGTTGTCGCACAGAAGGTCTGGGAGACCGTAGACATGGTCTTCAAAACTCGACTTTCTACTAAACACGAGGACGGAAGAGCGAGAGTAATTGGGCGTATACTTAAACAAGCATGAAGTTAGTACAAACAAATAAGTAAACCAGTAAATGGTTTAAAAGGGTCAAGACCGAAGCACTTGATGTTTTTACTACGCGTCACCTTTTTTTCTTTAAGAAAAGAAATGGAAAGTGCAATCTCGGAGGCGAAGCAGACTTGCACCCGAATAAAGTCGAAAATTCGGAAACGATACAAAATGTTGAAGAGTCTTCGACCTATGGAAGTGGAAGTATCTGCCGTAAGTCTTTTCTTTGTCTCTCCTCTACTCTGCTGGCCTAGTTACTCTATTTTGAGCATTTCCGAGTTTCTTGTCACGTTGAGAGGTACTGAGACTTCAGGGTACGCTCTCAACTCCCTTCTTCCATGAAAAAATCTTGTCAGTAATTCGAATACCCTCCTGTTCCACTACTGGTCATAATACCAGCCATAGGGTCAGAGCACCCAGTATAATCTGGCACGATTCACTACCGGCCTCTACCTTTTCTCAATGAAATACGGCTTTTGTGTAATTGTTCTATCAAATTCTGCATACTCCCAGATCCACTGGAAGCTGTCAAGAATTGAATCTAACACTGTGCCTCAGTTCCACCGCCCCTTCTTTATTCCTAGAGGTCGTGGTTGTAGCTAACCCTGCAAGCCGCTAAACCGATAGAGAGAAACTCGTGTCTCGCAGCACATGGGGGTCCTTTAACTTGCAGCACCCAGATCAGCCAAGACTCGGTTCCCTCCTTTTAATGCTTTTTATATGCAATTTTTGCGGCTACCATGGTGTCAGCGTGACAAGATTGACAGTAGCAGGCATATGACATAATCTAGTAGGAATAATTATCAAATGCTACTACTTATGAGAGTATTACTTTCAAAGAGCCATGATAATGCACTTTCCTCCCCTTTTTTAATCAGCTACTTTGCTATCTCTCCGTTTCTCTTAGCGACTTCAAAAACTGGACGATTTGAATCACCGTTTTTCTGCTGTTAGTAAACGGTATGCCACACCACTCCTACTGACTGCCTCACTAATCAAAGCGCACAATTTAATCAACAGCATTGCATTTTAAATGTCAAAAATCATTTTTCCAACTCCTTTTTTGTAAGGCTTGAATTCGCCGAAAATTTGAATCGAAAAACACAGGAAGCACTAGCTCGGCAAGAGTTGAGAGTGGAGGATGCAAAGTTGAAGTTCAATCGAGTGAAAGAATTGGTGAGGATAAAGCGTACTTGACTTTTTTACAGCCCATTTTTCCACTTCCCTTTTAAATTTGTGAACTAATTTTGACTTAATCGCTTTAGTTAATCAGATTCGGGCTACAGTTAAAGTCGCAGTGGTCCGTTAGTTTTGACTTATTTTTACTACTAGACAGGGCAAGAATTTTGAAATTTTTAAGAGAGGGAGTGACGTTACTCCTTAAAGTTATGTTCTGAAATGTACGGAGATATTTTCATTTTTGTAGTACGCTGAAGAAAAACGCGCCCAATTGGGGCGCATGAGGGAACTAGAGATGGAAAAGGAGGAGTATATGGAAAAATTGATGTGCCTCAATCGCAAACTCGATCGGCTGGGCAGGCAAAAACTCTTCAAAGGTGTTCAAGGTGCCTACAAATGGCTCATGGCAAGCTTTGGTGAGCAAATCAAGAAAAGCGCTACTGAATTACGAGTAGTAGTCATTTTCAACCTAGCCTTGTAGCGTATCATGCTTAGCTAGGTGAGTTTTGTGTGCAGAAAAATTGGAGGCCTTCAGCAATTACTTATTTCATTCGAACAAGTTCTGGTAACCTTAAAAAACTCTTCCATCTTTTTGGTGGGACTCTTTTAGGTTATTATTAGAGCTGTCAGAAGCATAAGGGATATATTTATTTCCTGCTTAGTAAGTCGGTACCACCTCATTTCAGGAATTCAATGTTTCCAGCCTCGGTTTTGATGTTTTATTAATTTTCACAAAATCATTGTTCTTTGTGAAAACTGAGTGGTGGAACTTTATTCCGATCAAGAATTTAACCACTCAGTGTTGGTTCAAACATCTGCTATTTTCGTAAATCAAAGTGCTTCATTCTCTGTTGCGCTTGCACTTCCGACAGTTCAACGTTTCAATAGCTCAGATTTTTTGCTAATAGCAGTCTTTCCAATCACTTGTTATTTCATTTCAAAAAGAGCCGATTAAGCCATTCCCTACTACAAAGCAGACGAGTTCACTCTGCTCTAACAAATGGAATTTCTCCTTTTAAGTTCCACTTGACTTGCAAAAAGGATCAAATCCTCCCAGGAAAATAAGACTTATTCTTTTATCTTATGTATAGACGTTCAGGAACCCGAAGAGGAGGAGGAAATTGACGAATTTGTTGGAAAACGGTGCACCATTTTCTGTCAAGAGATTAAACGTCTGCAACAACACTCCGCGTGGCTGGAGGAAAACTTGAAAGCTGTGCAATCGAAATCCCTCAGTCGTCAACGTATTAGTGCAATTAAAGCGGTGTTGGATCGCGGAGGGCCTCAAACAACGTCGTAGGTCCCCTTTATTACCTTTCTTGTGAATGGCTGGCCGCCAGACATAAGCGAAGACAGTGATGACAACAAACTTTGGAGAGGCAAATAGAGATAATAGCTGGAAATCCATCAATACAAGCTAAAAAGCTGTACTAGTTACCCGGTTGCATCCTACTCTTGATCTGCGCGTCAATCTGGATTTTAACCCCTGAATGCCGTAATTGTAGGCAAGGTCCTCATTGGGTTAAGCTCAGCCAATAAAAATTGCGCAAACTCAACTAATCAAAATTGCACCACCTATTACAAAGCGTGTTTGATTGACTCTGACAGTCTGTTAGTTTGTAAACATTTCGTTTATTTTATTGTTTATTCATCTACCATTGAATCCCTATACTTTGTGCATGAACATAGAGTAGTATTTGTGAATTAGCCCAATTTTTTGTCCAGGACTAACGTGACAAAAAGGAGTCTTAATCGATCTACGCGACCTCGTCCAATCAGTGTGATTGAGACCGGCACCAAATCGATTGCTCGTCCCATCACACCGGGACCACTCACAGTGCCTAGTCACATAGAGAGTCGACGCCGGATGATGGGCTTTGGGAATCCAACTCCATCGCAGGGGGCTCCTGCCGTTTCTGCCACTCAACGCCGCCTGGCCTACTCGCAAAGTCTTCGAGAGAAACACAAAACTAGCAAAACATCACTGGCATCACATTCCTTTCAACGTGAAACACCGACTTCGGCATCCTTGTCGTTCCGCACCACAATACCCCTCATCTACACGGCCTTTCGGAGTACAAAATGCACCGTGTCGAGAACATTCGATGGTGCTATCTAAACCGATTGTGTAAAGAGATATAAATAGCAAGTGTACTTTCCTGAATTCCAAGAGTACGGGCATAGCTCCGTCGACTGTACTATGCCAAGTACTGGGGTCAAAAGCCGAAGTCCATAGTGCATGCAAGAGTAACTACCTCCCAAAAAAGGATTGTAATTGACAAACGTTTACTTTGAGGGAGGGCGGTTTGTATTGCCATTGTGTGAGTAAATTTGTCACCCTAAGATGTAGTTTAGTAGTGAATATATATTGTTTCTGGAATATAGCAAACTTAAGCCCGTTCTCTTAAAGAAGTCAAGTTTACTCCCTCACGAGTCTCGCAATCGATATCGATCTTTTGACAATTTGCGTTGCGCCGTTCTGACGTTAAATAAGTCGAATTTACTTCTGCGTGAGTCATGCCATCGAGAAAATCGATATCGATTTTTAGCTATTTGCTTTGGATGTGTCGTTCTCACGTTATTCCGAGTTCGTCACCGAACTGTAAAATATACTCTCACAAAATACAGAAATGCATCACAATGAATTTATCCGTTCTCAATTAATTACAACAAATGTGCTTTAATGGGAATATAAAGTTAAAAGCTATTCCTTGGCATCCTTGTGTGCCCAAGCCGTAAAACGTTTGAAAGTTAGAAATATGATCGTGCCACTGTTTTTAGTCCAGCAGCCAAGGAACAATACTTTCCAAGGGGAAATCTTCTGCGTAATCAAAGAGCAAGATTAAACATTGGATGCCCCAGGCGTTTTCAGCTCAAACGAATAACAGATATGTTTTAATTTAATTCCGTTGTTATAAAATGATGGGTAAATTGAGGAAAATTCCTTACATCTACATCAAAATTTGTAGCCTGACTATGACTAAATTTCGCTTAATTTAGGCCTATCAACAATGGTTCTGTAATATCTTTTTCCCCAAGCAGGAGATGTAGGCGGCATTTGTTGTTCCTGCACCAGGTTGCAAGTCGATATGATTATTCAAAAAAAATGGAAGAAACGCAGGAGAACAGTGGACAATAAATACAGTAGATGCACTAGCACCAGAACTCCTCCTCCTCCTTCCCCAAGGCGCCCGATGGACACTCGGACTATGGTATAAAGTCAGCATGTGTACAGGAGGTCCCACGGCACATCTAAAAGGTACACGTACGGGTAGGGGCCAAACTAGGTGGGAGCACATTGTGTTGTGCAGAAGGGGTCTGTATCCGTGTGGAAGATGCAAGGGGAGTTCTAGGTGGGATGATGATGGATGGTATGGAGGGTGAGAGTTGGAAACTCACCACTCAACCCGCCTTCGGTCTATCGATGCTAACTACATCCTTCGCACCGTAGAAGTCATGGGCGAATTACTTCCCACTTTATTCCATCATTTTTTATGGGGCTGTCATGGAACGGAGGTAAAGGGACTTGAGCAGTGTCAAATCTAACAAACAGAGAGTGTGAAACAATGAGATCTCAGTGGATCTGTGGGAGCTAAATGGACGTTCGAGGAGGATTGGTAGTTGGTATGGACATGTATTTTTAAGCCAGGATTCATGGAAAGTAGAAAAGTCGATGAGCTTCTCTCCAAGAAGGCGAATTGTAACACCCAAACACTAATTTCGAAGGTGGACAGGACTCTGAGTCAAGGCATGGGTGCAACTCTACTACAGAGTTGGCCAATAATAACGGCTTTCAGTTGGTGTTAAAAGGTTTCGTTAAGGCCGCTGGTGACAGGATGGTAAGCAATTGTCGTCGTGTGGTAGCATTCGAGTAAACTTTGCAGCTTCCACGATCAGGCAGACGTTACGTGCGAGTCGCGATCCGTGGCGATTTTCACTGGTACTCCAAAGAGGGGCTTATAAGACTGGTGCTCGGATCACTGTCAGTATGGGGGCACCTTTTATGGACATTGCTTGTGAATATCGTGTGGAACAAACAATGCAGGTCAACGCGTAAGTACGTATAACTGTGTCCATTGTCGTGCATCCTTTTGCATATTCAAACAGGTAAAGCGGTTGCAGACGAGCTCTGATGTGGTATAAGTATTGGGGTGTTACGGTAATGGAAACGCCCGTAAATAATGCAATAGAAGGATTTTAAAAATGTTAGCAATGTGGCACCTAATTGCACTATCGTCCTGAAAGAGAGGTAACTCGCAAAACCTTATGGGCAGGCGCTGTTGCGATTCTTCCAATTCAGAATGGACGCTTCATGAATTTGCATATGGCCTGAAATCGCGACACCCCCAAGCAGACGCCTGAAGTGCTTAACCGCGAGGAGGGCTTTTAGCGGCTTCGTCCAAACCTCCTGAACTTGTTTACGTTGGCTGAAGATGTCGTAAGAACGTCACTTATTAGCAACTTTTTTCAGCAGCTTCTTCTAAGCCACCTGTCGACGAGGAGTAAGTTCACCGCAAGGTCAGGAAAGTCAATTCCCTTGGGGTAGTTTTGAGAAAGGTAGGGTCTCGATGGCTTCGTCGTTAAGTTCCAAGCACCAAGTGTCATTCTGTAAGAAATCTGTGGGTAATCCAGCTAATTCGGCCTAGCAAAGACTAAAGTGACCAGAGAAGTTAATGGGGTCTAGTATCGATGGGGTTAATGGCACGAACTGGGGCGTGGATAATCTCCAGTGGCGGGAACCTCTTCTAACACGGAGGGAATTGTTGATGTGCCTTCGAGTCCTCACTGATTTTACTCCTAACTAACAGCTATTCGCGTTTCTACCTATTACATGTAGTTAAAAGCTTTCAAAGAGAGTTCGCAGGTATTTTTTTCTGCATTGCTGGATATTTACTGACTGCAAGGATGTTGTTTGCATCCGCACAGCGTTACGATGTTTTAAGTGGAATACTTACAAATCCAAAACAAGCCAAAGGGAGTCGTGCTAGCTAAATTCGGTGGTGGACTATGAATACGAAGGTTTCATAGGGGAAAGTGGAAGCATTGTGAAAGTGAAATATGGGGTATTCAACAGGCATCGGTAGCTTTCTCGATTTGTCTTGGCTATTAAGTGAAATGGCGAAGGCCACGGATTGCTGGAAAGTTGCATGATGGTCTAGTCTAAATTGCGTGAATATTTTTTGTCGGATGACTTTAATTTATCTGGAGGAAAGATTTGACGGTCTCACCAAGGTGTGAGATCCCCTTGAATGAGTGTGATCCACCAGATTATGGTTAGTCAGACCATGCTTTGAAACTGAGTAAAAAAGGCTAAGAGCTTATTGTCCAGTATTAAAGCTATTCAAAAAGCAACAGAAGTGGCTTTGCCGAGAGCAAAGTGTGGAGTGCCTCTTTTTAGAAATTTCCGTGCGCTTATATTGACAAGCAATCCGAAGGGCGAAGGGAAGGTAATGCTGATGATGGGATGTTGGACGTTGGACGTCATAAGCCGTTCAGCATATCCGTGGATGACTATGGCATTAGTCCCCTGGGGGTATATGCAGTAGAATTGACGTCGTGCTGTCTAGGTCTAGGGAGGAAAACGCTAACCTTCTCCCTGGTGTTGATTGGGAATTTACGTGCGGCACAGTCATCCTTCGCGTAGAGGAAGAGGCGAAGAGTATGCCCAGTGACACTTGCTACTACAGCTGACTACCTGGTTGATCGCATTCATCGCAAGCAAATGTAGGGTAGGAACAAGAACAGTGCATTTTCCAACCTCACCTTCGAGGCGACCGCTGGAGGAATGGGTGAAAGCACACTCATTTGGAGGGAGAGGAGCAGGAAGGGCGTTTGGAGGCGGGCAATCTCAAGTGGATGGACGTATTCGTTTGGTCAGTGGACCGTCCAGGAGGGCAAGGAGCAGGCGGCAACTTTCTCAAGTTTTACATTTGTGAATAGAGGTTTAAAGAGACAGACATAAGCTGCAGATTGGAGAATCTGTAACGATCTACAGCAGAAGCGTTAAAAGTGACGTCTACCTCCTGTAGCTACTCCAATTTGTGATGTGCAGGAATGCTGCCAACAGCTTAAGGGGAACTAGCCCTGAACCATTGAAAAAAGTGCGTTGCGAAGCTGTCCACGGTACTTGTGAGAATTAGGTGGGCATGCAATGCCTCCACGTCTCTACTAGCTGCAGAGAAACCAGATAGATGGATATGGCTGGACAAAATTGAAGTGAGGAGAACGCGGCAAGGAGGGAAAAAACGTAATACCTTAGCCCCACGAAGGCCTCTTAAACTCCGTTCCTTATTAAATGACAGCTTTTAGGTCAGTGTTCCCACGACTAGTGATGAATTCCCAAACACAACAAAACTTCACATCCACCGGAATTACCAAGAGGGGTCAACGACACTGCGGTCAAATATCTTTTCCATTGCAAGCAAATTCAACGGCTGTCGTGGCTGTCTCGTGAATGCTCTGCCTTACAGTGCCGACTACTTTATGGTGGTCGAAGCGGGACAGTGGCCATGGGCAGCGCCGGGGACGACGCTTAAAAGGGTATGGGGCCAATGCAACAGTTTTATTGTCTTTTAAATTCTTCGTTTTGATTACCCTGGCACTTAACTCTAAGCCGGTTGTTCTTCCACCTCGCTGCATGGTCTTAGGTCCAAGACGGTAGCCCTTCAGCCCTCCTGAAAGACTCGGAACGGGTTGTGTTAAAAGATAGTGACATAGGCAGAAGCGCCAATTTGTGGAAATTTTTATGCTACCGTTTGGCAAATCTGGGCAATTTCATCCAAGAAAATACCCATCCTTCCTTCTATTGGACTTAAAAGGTAAAAGATTGGGTTTAACGCGAAAAATAATTAAATGATTATCATTGCAGCAATTAAAGAATGGAAATTGAATGAAATATGTGACACATAAAAGAACTCAAAATTCAAGGGGTTGGTGAGCAGAAACCAGGCGTCTAGCCGAGTCTGCCATGAGCTTTGTGTACCTCTTATTAACCGCCCGCTGAAGCCGCGGCTCTAAAGGCGCGTGGACGTACTCCAATCTGTGTGGAACCAGAAATGAGGGGCGACTGCTGTATCGATGGTAGTTGGTGGAACGACCTCTACTGCCGCTTCTGCGTCTGTATCTGTTGCGTGGATTGACTCGGCCTCGATAGTGGGCAGTCAGACGAGGCAGCGACGAAGTGAGTCGTGGTGGTGGGTGGAGCAGACGGGCCGAAGTGGCAGGTGAGGCACGGGATTGGGCGTTTAGGGCGGCGATCAGGGATGCCGATCCGTTGCGTTGATGTGGAACACTCCAGGAACGTTGTGTGTAGTTTGCTGAAAAACAATCAAAAACCCAAAGCTGATATCCCTTCACAATCAAATCAACCCATTATAGCAAGGAATTGGGAAAAACTGTAGCCAGTTTTAATGATTTTAGAAAAAATTCTCTTTAGTTTCCAGTTTTATTTAAAGGGTTTTAATCTGAGCAAGTGATATCAATAGACGACTCCAGGAGGGCATTGTTTAGCACCCGTATTAATTTAATAACCACTGTAGAAATCTGTAATACTCCAGTAACGAGACATTTGACAGATGTGAGTCGCATTTAGCCGCCTTCGCTCTATGAGAGTTTGATGATAGAGCAAGGAGAAGGTGATTAGCATTACTTCGAGAAACATCAGAATGGGGATGCAGATAAGGGGTGGTCAGTACCACCCACACTCCACCCTTCCGTTCCCCCAATCGCCTGACAATAATGGGGCTCTCTTCCAACCAGTTAGCAAGACAACACTGTTCTGCTCCCAATGTACGAGTTTTCCAGGCACACGATCCAGTTGCATTGCATTGTATTGAACCGCATTGAGAGGGTAGATTTCAGCAGCAGTTGTACTTGGCGATTTGGAATAAACGATTGCGTAACTCGTATCGCAAGTTTCACATCCACCCGCCCAACCACTCACACACTCATA